ATATATATATTTGATATCACTATGAACATTTCGGGATTTTGTACACGTATTTATTTTTATTTTTATTTATTGTTTTTTCAAAAATAATCAAAAACTACAATTATCGAACTTTTTTTGTATAAATAATGTATTTAAATATAATATATCACATGCGAATGCTGAGAATGTGTATAACAGCAGGTAGATATATTTCTGTACAAAACAATTAATTCACATTCCTTTACAGTGAAATCATCAAACATAGAGATGTATTGAAATTAATAAGTAATAGGTAGTATATAATAATTATTTTGTACAATAGGATAACAATTAATTCTACACTGAAGTCTGCAGAGGTTTTATTAACAAAAAAATATCCTATTAAACTAAATATCCCAAAAACATCATTGGATAAAACATTAGATAATGCATACAGAAAAGAAGATGAAGTTACAAAAAAAGAAATCAGTTCACTGGAAATGGATACACCTATAGTGGACACGTCCGAAATAGGTCGCGTAATCTTTCTTTATAATTTTTACTATTTTATTTTGAATTATTATAACTGAATTAAATTATGTATAGCTTTTATTAAGGTTTTTATTTTCGTTGCAGTATATGATGATTATCTTGATGAAGAAGAAGCTGATGCTGCGGAAATGTCACTTGGACAGATGCTCGAATCTCGCGCAACATTTGAGAGTGAATTTTGTGATGATGGTTATGAATATGAATGAAAATGTAAACATTTATCTAAATCTAAACTCTTTATTTACTATTATTTATTATTATAAAAATTAAAATGAATAGAGAAATACATTATCTGCAGTAATTTGAAAAAATAACCCATATTTTTTTATAATAATTATTATAATAGTATAAATCATTTACCTGCATCTTATATCTTATTAAGGATATCTTATAAAAGACTTAGTAGAATAAATATATGCTGCTGTATATGCTGCTCTCGCATTTATCTGATCGAGGTTTTTATTATAAGTTAGCAGCAATACAAAAATGAATTTTGCAAAATATTATATCTGAAAAAAATTCTTATGGGAAATTATGGGGATAAAATTGAAAATCAACGAAATGAATTTTCTCTTTAATGGATAAATCGATTTCGATGAAAAAAATGTTATAGGGTTCAATGGTGCGATATTTAAAAAAAATTATAAAAATTTTTTCGAAAAAATCGGTTGAAAAAAAATCGGTTGAAAAAAAATCGGTTGAAAAAAGTTCTCAAATTTCTTTTAATTTTTTACTAAAATAATCTTCGACTTATCTAGTCTATAATATATTTAATTTTCAAAACGATCGGAAAGATAGTACATAGCTTAAAAAAATCAAGAGTTTGAGCGTGCAGCATACGATTAGCCGGTAAGTAATGCATGAGATACGCATACTACATTAGGTATTAAATTCAGCTATGTACATATGCTTATGTCAGAATAAGTCGCGAAAAAACTAAGAATGATGTCCCACGTCTTTAATTTTTTTGACAGCGAGTTTTCTATCCTATTGTTTACGTGAGATATTTCCACGTTCCAGTAGACATATTTTAATCTTTTGCGTAGTATCACGTAAATCTCCGTGGAGCGCTATCGACTTTGATTGTTATTAACGCAATCATTATTTAATTTGATCACTTGATGATCTATTTCAGTAGAAATCCACAATGCGTCTCTATATAAGTAACACTTATCTAAAAATATTTGCTATATTGGTTCTTTTTCGCTACTTTATTTTTTTTTGTATTTAATTTGACTTGGTGCAAAAAATGTCTATGTCACTGACGAATCATAAATGCGCTGAGTGTGATAAGTTCTGTCGACAAAATAGAAGCAAAATGCAACATCAGTTATGGTCAGTCTAATATCTTCTGATCAAATCTGCTATCAGTCTGACATCTTGCTAACATTTTGCTATCTGGGTATTTTTAAAAACGTATATGTACAAGGAGAAATCAATAAGTTCTTAGAAAATCTGTTAGAAGGCACTTGCAGTGTCATATCACATTACTTTTTGACAAGTAGTATCTCTCAGCTAATTATTGTCAAATTTTGAACGGAATTCATCGCGTGGTTTCATTTCTGTAGATGATTAGCGAACAATCTTTGTATTTTTTGCAAAATGGAAAAAAACGAATTTCGTACAGTGATCAAACATGTACATATGAAAAGTTTAACGCCGAAAGAAATCAAAGCTGAGTTGAATAATGTTCATAGCACATCTGCACCAGCGTTTGCAATTGTATACAATTGAGTGAATGAATTTAAACGTGGTCGTACATTCACATGTGATACATTTCGTTCGGGACGTCCGAATTGAGGCTGCTACGCCAGAAATCATTGATAAAGTTCACGATATTGTTTTGATTGATCAACGAGTGCGCGAGCTTATTGAGGCCACAAGCATATCACAGTGATTTCAATTTTGCACGAACAATTGGGTGATGAAAAAGCTATCAGCAAGATGGGCCGCGTTCGTTCACTATGGACCATAAGCGCGACCATGTGACGATTTCAAAACAATGTTTGGAGATGTTTCAACATGATATTTCAATGAGATGAATTTCTGTGTCGATTCATTATTGTGAACGAAACATGAATCCATTCACACTCGAGACGAAGGAACAGTCAAAACAATGGACTTCATCGAGTGAATCAATTCCAAAGAAGGCGAAAATCGGAGTCGGCCGGAAAGGTGATGGCCAGTTTTTTGGGATGCACGCAGTATAATTCATATCGATTATTTATAATTCATATCAAAACGATCAATAGCGATTATTACGCCTTATTGAATTGTTCAACAACATTTTAAAGAAAAAACATCCCCATTTGACGAAAAAGAAAGTGCTCTTCCATCAAGACGGGTTCATACATGCCCGATGGCCAATTTCAACGAATTCCGTTACGAATTACGGAATTGATGCCGGACCATCCAGCATATTCGCCAGATTTACCCCCTGCGACTATTTCCTGTTTCCAAACTTGAAGAAATGATTCGGAGGAAAGAGATTCATCACCAGAGAGCAGTTCATCGCCAAAACAGCGGCTTATTTTGAAGGGTTGGACAATTCATATTATTCGGACAACTTGAAAAAGTTAGAGAATCATTGGATCAAGTATCGAGTTGAAAGGAGACTATATTGACAAATAAAAATGAATAAAAAAAAATGTGTTTTACTATGTTTTTAAAAAACTTATTGACTTGCCCTCATATACCATAGCATCGTCGATATTCGAATCTAACATCTATGGAGTAATAACATGCTAACTTTGAGCTATAATCGCATGTCCGGACAATTCGAAATTTGATTGTTATTCAACTCTTCATATAAGTTTTTGTCTGTAATAGATTGTCAACAGTATTCAATGGCTACATTCAAAGTCTCGCTATAAATGCTTTGAAGCATTTGATGGATCAATTAGAAGAAAGAATTTTACAAACTGACCAGTTAAAAAAAGCATTTACAGCATTGTACACCCAATATAGAATTATAAGCATCGAAAGGTCGTTTATCAACACAGGCTGTGTTCCAAAATTCATTGCCAGTGCTGAAAATCCACAGTTTATGTTAAGCTATCATTTTATGAAGATACCCTTGCATATATTATACATTTTCGGCACTAGTAGTGAATTTTGGAACAGTCTATAATAGGAATTTTTCATCATAAAATATATACATTTTTATAGTGTACCAGCCTATAAATGTCGATAGTTTTCAAATTATAAAAATCGAAATATTTTATATAGGAAACAATTTACGCATTCGAATGTATATGAACGGAATGACAAAATCTTCGGTTATAAAAATTACTATTTTAAATTGTTTATATGAAGAGTTTTGAAATGCAAAGGTTGTAAGTCACTCTATTAATTATAATTAATGAATCCTTTTTGGATCATGTACTTGACGAAATAATCAGTCAGATCTAAAATTCAACAATAATATTCATATGGAATCATTTGTATTTCGTATGAAGAATTATGAAGTACCATTAAAAACATTTGTGAGTTTCTTCCAGACACTTTTTAATTAAATATTTAAATGTCATGTATTTAACCGAAAGATAGATTCAGGTGCTACGGTCATGGAAATTCCATTAGATGCGATCGATAGTCTAGTATTTCGGTACTCCTGGTTCTTTTCTGATCATACCGTTCATAACAAAATTGCTCCGTTCAACAGGAAAAATAATTGTTGAGATTAAAAAATCTGTTATGTAGACAGTGAAGTGTATAGACTAATACTTATTGATTTGGAACGGCTATTTATCCTGCCGGCTCTTTGATCAAATTTTTCTGTCTTGGAAATTTCTTTTATTACATATTTTACAATTGGCTACGTTCAATGGAGAAAACAGCTTTGCAATTATAAAATTCTTCAATATGTGCTTCAATTGGTGCTTGCTTATAGATCTAAATATATAAATAAATATATAAATAAATGTGTTTAGCAGAACGCAACAGTTTTGCAACCGTTTTATGAATGTCTGCTGAACAGTCCTAGATGCATTCATCTCAAAATGTTTATTCAGCGATCGCTATGATTTCCAGCAAAGTAAAACAGTATTGCGCAGCAGAAGGCAACAGTTTTGCAACCGTTTTATGATTGTCTGTTGAAGTCTTAACACACTCAATTTTTCAACATGTTTGTTCAACGGTCGACATGATTTCTAGCAAAGTAAAAGTATACTGAGTCACAAACAAAAACGTTAAACAAAATGGCTGCAAAGCGATTGCATCTCTTTATCAAATATCTAATCTTTAATATTGCATTTCAGGTTTATTCCCTGAGCTGTTGTTTCGAGTCCGTGTGAAATTTTGAATGAAATACGAAAGAGATCCAAAAATTAGGGGCTCCGCACAATAAAAGGAACAGGGAATAAAGAATAGAGAATAAGATTTTCAACCTATCAGAAACTGTGTATTCCACAATACATGATTTCTGATAGATTGAAATTCTTATTCCATGTTCCTTTTATTGTGTGGAGCCCCTTAGTCTTCGGATTCCGTAATATGATTTGTGATATTTTTTGTAAAAAAAAAATATAAAATCCTGAAACGCAATACTAAAGATTAAATATTTGAGTAAAAGATGCAATTGTTTCCCTAATAAAAAAAGTTAATGAAGAATGATATAATTTCTATCAATTTGTATCATCCCCTCCCACCCCTATAAGCTGTATCGTTAATCTTTTCAGAAATAAGATATAAACATTATCATATTTTATCGGTTCTTAAGATTCGTATTCTATTGGAAACGATAGAACATCTATCTTTTTCTACTGTATTCAATCTATTATATCTAAAATATTATATCTAAATCTATTATAATAATCTATTATAATAAATCTATTATAATAATCTATTATAATAAATCTATTATAATAATCTATTATAATAAATCTATTATATCTAAAAGAATAGTAAAATAACGATTGGCATTCATCCATTTCTATCGTTTACTTAACGAATAACAATCATTCATTAATATAAAATAAAAATGAAATCGTTATTAATCTGAAATTTATTCTATGAGTGTCTATCGGCGGTGTGCAAGACTAAATCTATAAGATTCTATTGTTTTTTAGCAAATTGACTTATCTGAACATATATGAAATATATGAATGAAATTTCATAGAATTTCTATCTGATTTTTCAAAGTGGACATATCTATAAAAAGTTATCATAAATATCATATAAAATGGATCGTTCTCGATCTACAATT